TTAAAGTTCTAAGATGTTCTTACTAGCTTTCTAGTCTCCTGGTGCCTCTTAGCAACTCCAGGCCCCCGTGAGCAGCATTTTGTATGGCTCCAGGCCAAGACCCCACATAAAACCTTCAGTAAATAGGAGAGTTCTCTTCATTTAGCATCCTATGTCTGTGAGCAAGGATCCTGGCCATGGTGAATACTAACAGACTCAGAAAGGGACAATGTGACTGTAACCATAATGCAAGGTTGACAGTGTAGACTCCAAAGGCAGGAGTCCCTCTAACTGGAAGTAGAGGTTAGTGTTCTTGATCCTTTTTTTTTTTTTTTTTTTTTTTTTTTAATGTGCAGTTGTGAAAGGGTGTCAGAGCCCTTAGAACTGGAATTACAGACAGTTGTGAGCTGCCATGTGGGTGCTGGGAATGAACCCAGATCCTTTGGAAAAGCAGACAGTGTTCTTAACCATGGAGCCATCTCTTCAGCTCCAGTGTTCTTTGATCATATAGATAGGGGAGGCTGAGGGGCTATCTAATCTGAGGGCACAGAGATGCTGAGGAGAAGAAAGGGATCACAAATGCCACTCTAATCATTTTGACCAGGATGGATGGAATGCCGAGGCGGTCATGAAAAGCAGTGATCCAGGTATAGAGTTCCAGGCTATGGGATGTTGAATATATTTGGATGACAAAGTGGAATGGGCATAGGTTGCAGGCCACTATTTCCACTGCAGCTGACAGGCAATACTCACAAAGACAGCAGAGTAATGGGGGCCTGGCCTTGTTACAAAGTGACAGAGCTGAACTCCCTGAGCCATAGTCACCAGGATAAAAGACAGAACATCGACCAGGTGGATGGCAGCAGAAACAGTGCTACGACCAACACCTAAAAGGTGTTTTCCCATCATTGAACCAACAGAAACCATTGTACTTCACTGTCTTAGGTAACACAGGCACCATTGACTCCCAAGCATGTCAAATCCCCTCTCACAGTACCAGGACCAGTCATAGTATTAGCATCACCAACAGTTACACAACTTGAGCCCCGTGACCACCAATCCCAAGACTTGACTCTTCCACTGGTACTCACCCTCTCTGTTCCAGACATACCACAGTCATCAACCACCACATCAACAAAACTCCATTTCCACCATTCAGAGTGAGGGCACAGGTCCACCTTGATACCTCCCAGAGAGAGGAAAACATTAGTTGTAAGAGAGACTACAGCTAGACAGTGCTGCCTGGCCACACTCTCCCTTAGTAGCCATGAGCATCTGAGTCTGGTTTGCTTGGGTTTTATTTTTACCTAGGTGTTTAAACTGTTTGGGAGTAGAAAATGTGCATAGCATGTATGTAAGGCCCTGGGTTCTATCCCCAACACCAAAATTAAGAAAGAAAGGAAGGAAGGAAGAAAGGAAGGAAGGAAGGAAAGAAAGAAAGAAAGAAAGAAAGAAAGAAAGAAAGAAAGAAAGAAAGAAAGAAAGAAAGAAAGAAAAGGAAAGAAGGAAAGAAAAACGAATAGAAAAAGGGAATCTGAATCTACGACAAAGGCAGGAAGCAGGCTGGGGTGACCTCACAGGCTCTCTTTTTAGGACTAAAGTCAAGGCTGTGTAATTTCTCTGTGATGCTTGCTTGCTGGTGCCCACTTTTTGGAATTTCTGGAGACTCATGGATCTTCGTGCAGAAACTGACCTGGAACAAGAACCCAAGATCCTTCAGGACAACTTTGATGTCCCTTCTTCTCTCTCCAGACCCTGGCAGCTGCTTGTAGAGAGTGTTCCTGGACAGGATGCACTCAGTGAGAACTCAGAGTAGCGGGCACATGTGTGAGCCCGTATGGCCCCGATAGTGATCTTTGTCTCACCCCTGTGGTCAGTGGTAAACTTTTCTTTTCTTTTTGGGTTTTTCAAGACATGGTTTCTCTGTGCAGCCTTGGCTCTCCTGAATCTCCCTTTGTAGACCAGGCTGGCCTCAGACTTATAGAGATCCACCTGCTTCTGCTTCCCAAGTGCTGGGATTAAAGGTGTTGCCACCATTGCCTGGCTCAGTAGTGAATTTTTCCAAGGCCTACATCCAGCTCCAAACTCATTGCAGGAAATCCAGGGTTCATTTGGAACTATTGATAGGGAAGGATGCAGTTGGCTGGTCTAGTAGCATACTGCAACAAAGGGGACAGACAAAGCCAATGTCGTCTTTGCCCAGCCTAGACATTTCCATCACTCTTATCCTGTTCAGGGTCTTCAGTTTCTAATAGTTCACTGGAAATGTGGAATGACACCAGGGAGGGGCCCAATGTTCTACGTCATCCTGAGCTTTCACATACTTGGCCAACCCGTAGGGAGGCCTCTAATAGCCCCATTAGCAGGGTTCAAGATCTAGCGGTTCTCTGGGATAGCCACATAATCAACATGGCTTTCAGAAGGCAAGGTGTGTCAAAGAGGTTGGGTAGGTGGCTTCATAGACGAGTCAAGGATAGCACTGCTGTAGGCCCACAAACCAGGCTATCCAAGGCCTCCTCTCTAACAACTAAGCCATGAAAGGCCTGGGCAGGGCAGGGCTAACACCCTTGCCCATCCGAATGTGCTCTTCCCTATGAAACAGCCAACACACAACTCTTGCTACTTCTCCAGCTCTAATCCTTTCTTTCAGCTTTGAACCTTTTCCTTTCTTAATGGATGCAGATCAATTAGGAGATGCTTTGGTAAGCAGCTTGTGGCTTCCCTGCATTCCTATCTGGGACAGACAGAGGCATCTAACAACTTATTACTCCATGTGTGGTCTGCAGACCAGCCGCATCAGCATTACCAGGGAACTTGCCAGAAATTATGCTCAACCTCACTTCAAACTTAACTAGAAGGCTCTGAGTGATATTTTCTGTTTGTTTTGTTTTGTTTTAAGACAGAGTCTCGTAATATAGCCCAGATTGTCCTGGAATTTGCTGTATATGTAACCCAGGCCAGCCTCAAAACTCACAAAGCCTCCCAAATGCTGGGAAAACTGGTGTGTACCAGCAGTCTACCTAGCTATGTGATGTTTCACCAGAGAGACAGTGTCCCCCAACCTCAGGTTCCTCCTCTCAGATGAGACCTGTAAGGCTAATCATCCAGGGCAGTTGAAAAGATGAAAGGAAAAAATGGGCTAACCCTGGCAGTGTGGAACTTTGGGATAGGAAAGTGCTGAGAAGTTTCTTATGTCCAGCAAGAATCTGCCCTTGACAAGAGCATCTACTTGGCTGACCACAGGAAGAGCTTTCTTTCTTCCTCTGGGTAGGACACTGGGTAGGTTCAAACCAGAATGACCCTCAGTCATTTTGTTCTGACGGCTAACTTCTAGGACCCTGACTAGATGAACTTTGTTTCTATTTCCTTACTTATTAAGGAGGGTTGATTGTGCCCCATCAGAGGGCTGCTGTGAGACATTAAAAGCATAATGGCAGAAACAAAATAAGAAGTCAGTAAACATATGACTTGGGGCTAAGGGAGCCATTACAACATGTAGAAATTTCATTTGTTCTGTCATTATTGTTACAAATAGAAATGCCAATCAAAGATCTGGGAATGAACCTGGTATGGTGGTGGTACCTTCCTATGGTCCCAGTTAACTGGGAAGCTGAAGCAAAAGAATTACTTGAATACAAGTGTTACAAACCAACCTTTTAGGAAAGGAAGGAAAAGAAGTGAGGGAGGGGAAGGAAAGGGTGTGTATTTCTCTGCTTTCTCGTGGTTTACGGCAGAGGGTGGGGTGCGGTGAGTACTTTTGAGAGAAGCGGTGCACACAGCATTTCTGTGTATGTGTCTGGAAGACGGAGGTCAATGTCAGGTGCCTTCCTCAATCGCTGTCTCCTTTAGTGTTTGAGAAAGGGTCTCCCATTGAACCTGAAGACTGGCTGGCTAGCAAACCCTAGAGATTCTCCTGTCTTTATTTCCCCAGAGCTAGAACTACAAGCTGCTGTGCCTGACCTTTTACGCTTCTTATGTGGATGCTAGGGATCTGAATTCAAGACTATACTCATGTTCAAGCCGCAAGCACTTTTCTTGCTGAGACATCTCCCCAGCCCTATGACTGAATTTTCTTTCTCTGTCATAGGGAACAGAACGAATCCCATTAATCCAAACTCTGCTGTTCTGTCTTAGAGAAGTTCTGGGGACAGTCTGGGATTACAGGATAACCAGTCATTCTAAGGGCAGGCGTGTGGACATCTGGGCTACCGGAACTAGCTATGCTAGCGCTGAGTATGTCCATCCTACTTGATCACACTACTCCACACTAGCAGAGCAGCTGCTTCTCTGCTTCTGATGGAAAGACCCTTTAGGTCTACGGTGCTTAGAACCATGTTCATGTCACTCTGGGCTGCCCGGTGACATGAGGACCTTCGAGCTCAGTAGGTTCTACCTGTCCCCTCCCCATAGGTCCTGCCACTCCCCGTTGTATGTCATGAAAAGGGGCACAGATTTCTGATTCTCTGAACCATCCTCAACCACATTGCCCCCTTTTGGCCAGGTAGCCTTGATCTGCTTTCCATGGTAGCTTCTGTCCATCTTCAGTCAGCTGTACTGTCAGTGCCCTGTGCTAAAACCCATGTTCTCATGGCTTTTTTTTTGGCTAGAGCACCCCTTCCCAGAGGTAATATATGCCCTTGACTGAATGTACAAGCAGTAATGGAAAGAGAAAAGGCAAACAAGATAGGAGAGGGACCTGGTTGATAACTAAATGTGCTTTTCCACCACATTGTAGTTTGCTGAGAAAGAACAACCAGGAAGTACAGAAAAACTGAGGGTAAACATCTTCCAAGATTTACGCTGTCCGGCTCCTCTCTTAGGTCTACTCATGCTCTCCTGGGATTCCAGAGGAGCTCTTTCCCGGCACCTGGAGATGTGCCCTCCCCCACACACCTGGATTCTGCTCTGTATGAAGAAGCGATAATGCTCTTCATCCACCCCCTCACACCCCACACTATGGAGAGGGCCTCCCCAGACCTGGGCCCGTATGACCTGTTGTCTTTTTGATCCCGCCTCATCAGCACCCCTATTGAGCATGCTCCAGTGTGCACCAGCCAAGCCACTTCCCCGCTGCTGCCTGCTTCTGTCCAGCCGCCTGCTGCTGCCTCTCCCATTGCAGCCTCGCCAACCTTGGCCACAACTGCTGCTGCCCATGCTGCCACTGCCTCTGCTGCAGGCCCTGCCTCAAGCCCTGTGGAGAATCCGAGGTAACTGGCCCACAGATGTCAGACCTAATGCTGGGAAAAGGGGGCAAGAAAGGACCCACCCTGAGCCTATTTGTGGGCAGCTAGATCCACATAGTTAGTTCCTTGATGTTTTCCAAGGAAAGCAAGTTGGTACTGCTTGGTGCAGAATGTGAAGGAGAAGTTGGGATGCATTTTGTGGGGTGTACCAACCATGACTGACATGAGAGTCTTCTTCTTTCAGCAAGGTAATGAAAAGGAAGCATTCACCCTCAGGGGGGTGTCCTGAGGCGATCAACCACTGTTGATGGGCAGGCTGGACATGGAGGCCTGGAGCTTGTAGCTGGGGTTTGCCTGTCAGTGAGAAGCAGGGTTGGGGCTGGACACTCATAGGCTTCTGCACCCGACACTTCCCTTTCCCTTTACAAATAGGAAGGTTTCCACCTTGTCCACAACAGGAACATTTCTCACTTTCCACCAGAGTGCCTGATCTACGAAGGAAGCAAGACCCTAATGAGAAGAGGGTCTGGCACAGGAAGAGGGAAGGCTGTTTGCTTAAGCCTGCCCTAGGAAAATGGGACAGAACCACCCTGGAAGCCAGGACCAGGCTCACCCCCATGGATCAAGTTGGGCTGGGCTTGGAACTACATGGGATTCTGGGAAGCTGCCTCAGGCTGCACAAAACAGTTAAAATAAGTACTCTGATTTCCTATGTCTCAGCCTGCCTTCTTGGATACCCACCACAACAGAGGCCAAAGGATGGGGCCATGCAGGGAGGATGAAGAGGGAGGCTGGGTGGCTCACTCAAGCTGCCACAACAGCAAGGTTGGCCCTGTTGTCTTTCCAGGCTTCCAGGAATGGTCCAGTTGTTGTTTCCAGCCAGGACCCAGATTTCCCCGGGGAACAAAAGCCTTCTAGGATCAGGGTGCATAGGGTCATGGTAATTTTCATTACCTTGCTGAGAGCAGAAGACGATTCTGCAGGGCACGGGGCTACAGTAGAAGAGGTCAGAGGGTACACTCTCAACACAAATAACCCCCTTCCTTGCACATGGCCTCAGAAGGAGCTGAGCTAGAGTTGCTCATTGACCGTCCACCTTGGTCCTTCACCAGATGTCTTCAGCTCTGCTTCCTGTCCCCATGCCAATCCAGGATGCTGGTACCCCCCAGTGGTGGGAAAGTCTGGCCCTGACACACTGACCGATAGCCTCATCCAGCCACAGAGAAAGCCGGGCACCCTTTGCACTCCATGTCCTCCTCTCCACCAGTGTGCTTACTCCTCTGGCCTTAGCACAGGGGTCTAGCCACAGAAGGGCAGGGGAAGCCTTAACTATAAATGCGGTATGATGCTGAGGTAAGGCTACACAGCCCCCAGGTCAGTTGCTGGCTCTGAAGATTAGTTAACCTTGATTGGGACAACACCCAGTCTCCCTGGGTCCACTCAGGTTACTGGTTGTCATCCCAGGGATATCCCTTCCAGAGACCCAGACAAGAAGGCAATTCTTCACCCTACCGCTTGGCCCAGCAGGTCCAGTGGGCCCGTGGGAAGAGGTAGAAAACAAAACAAAACAACAACAAAACACAGGATGCCAAAGGCTGGGGGTATATTTCTAGAGGTTCATTTCTGTAGTAGCCCACTAATGACCCATTTGCTGGGTGTGGTCAAAGGTCTCCCTTGGGACGAACAACGTGTAGAAAGATAAAGACAGTCATTAGTTTGACATGAAGAAATGGTTTTAACAAACATATGAGGTTGGGAAATACTGCACCAGGTAAGATTAAATAAGCTGCTAGACTCTGGAAGTTCCTGGAGCCTTCATCTCCCTAAGAAAGAAGCCACATCCAGCATTTCCTGAAGGCAAAGAACTGGGATACTTTTGTACATGTCTTTCTACCATTGTCACTGAGCCACGTGTGGGAAGATGCTGCTTGCTCTAGGATCCTGACAGCTGAGCCACTAGAAGGAAGCAATGGAAATTGTCAAAGAAGCAGAGCTGGGAGCTGCTGGGGCCTCCTGGCTTCTTCCCATAAATGTTGTCAGAATATTTTATTTATTTATTTATTTATTTATTTGTTTATTTATTTATTTATTTATTTATTTATTATTTGCTCAAAAAACACCAGACTAATTGCTTCCTCCAGCAGTATCATAAAGGAATAAGATAAGGAGACCAGATGGCCAGAGGGATCCTGGAAAGGTTTGGAGTTGCTGTGACCATTTCTATCTCCTTTTTCTCTGCCCTCTGCCTCGGTCCATAGTCCTTCTGCTATAATTCCTTTTGCGGATGAAGGCTTTCCATGCATTCTTTTATCTGGCTGGTACCTTCCCTTCCTCTTTCTCAAGGCGGCAGCACTAGCCACAGGGAGTAGCTTCCTTGCCTCTAAGACCCTTTGGCTTCTTTGTAGATTCTGGAACCAATCCAGTGGGTGTTTCTGTCATAGTCCTGCCTAGAGATCAGACAGCAAGCCTGCAATGGCTTTGGATACCAGAGCCCAGTGGACTGTTTGGTTATAACTCTTCTGCTTTGGTTCCAGGCCACAGGCCTCTGCCTCCAGTCCTGCAGCAGCTATGTCTCCAGCACCCTCTGCCCATACGAGCTACAGTGAGGGTCCAGCTGCCCCTGCACCCAAGCCTCGGGTTGTAACCACGGCCAGCATCCGGCCTTCTGTCTACCAGCCAGGTGAGAGCTGGGGGTGGGAGGGTGGGGGCAGGGGCTCAAAGAGTCATCTGTTTCAGGACAAGACCCTGAAGTGAAGGAGGCTTAATTCTCGCTCCCCTGGTTGTAGGGCAGAGTCCTATCGAGCCCTCAAGCCTGTGTTCGACCAGGCAGGGATGGAGCCATATGTCCTTTAGGAAAGGGATAGTCACACCTGCATGTTCCAGAACAAGTTGAGAGAAAAGAGGGCTGGGGATGGAGGAAGGTGAGCAGCAGTAAAAAGCTGTTTCTTTAAGAATCTCGGCTGACCTCAAACCGGAGGACAAGAAACCATAACAAAAATGCCCCAGGCTTTAGGCCGCTTATTGTGTGTCACTTTGTCCTTTTGAGCAAGCTGCTCAACCAGTCTAGTATGTGGCTTCCTCAGGTGACAGAATAGCTAGGGCACGTGTGGCATACCAGTAGAGAGTCGGCCGAGTGGACCCAAGGCAGAACTCACTGGTTGCAGTTTGTCTCTGTTCTGCCAATCAGTGCCTAGGGTTTTCTTGTAGGGATGAGAGGTAGCCTTATGTTCCTAATCTAGGCAAAGTTGGATTTCTTCCTCAGAGCCCAAGGTAGTTCTCAGGCCGGTGCACGTCCCACTTTCCCATCAACCATTGCTCCAAGAACCGAGGGCTCTCTAGCAGGTATTTTTCCAGGTTAGAGGAAGATCCCATGTACTCTGGCTATGCCTGTAGGAAGGCCCTTGACATCCAAGCCCTGAGGCTCGTTACTATCTTTTCTTCCTCTTGGGTTCTGACCCTGAACTTTAGGAGGGCAGAGTTGTGGCAGATTTTCTCCTTTGTATGTGCCTGACTTGAGCTTGCTTTGAGGTTTAATTTTCAACAGTGGGTGTAGAAAATTAAAAAAAAAAAAAAAAAAAAAAAAAAAAAACAGGCTAGAGGTGTAACCTGATGGTAGAGTGTGTGCCTAGCATGTGTGAACACACACACACACACACACACACACACACACACACACACAAACAAGCACACGAACACAGGCACACCAGCAGGCAGGCCGGGAACACATCATAGAGTAACAGGGAAAGGCCGTGAGTCTGTGTTCTGTACTCTAGCAACTGTGCATACACAGGAAATGAGCCTAAAGTATTCTTATAATGATCCCTTAGTGTTCATTGCATGGGTTGATAAAATAGGACTTTAGGTGGGCATATACTTTCCACTGAAACACAGTTATTGTCATCTTGAATTTATAGAAAGCAATAATGATTTTGCATTTACCGTTATAATACAAATGTTTTTCTCCTCTCTAAATTACTACACACTGTATAGTACCATACACACATACAATTTGTTTTGCTTTTGAGACAGTCTCTCTCTATAGTCCTGGCTGTCCTGGAACTCGGTATGTAGATCAGGTTGGCCTCCTCGAACTCACAGAGATTCTCCTACTTCTGCCTCCCCGTTGCTGGGATTAAAGGCAAGTGCGACTATGCTTCCCCTTACAATGCAAATATTAATAGATTGTTTGTTGGCAGAGTGGCTGGGGTAGCCCAGGCTAGTTGTTGATCTTCCTGCCTGGACCTCCCAAGTACAAGTACTGGGATTACACACGTGCTACCACACCCAGTTTTTAATAGACCTTTTAAAGAGCAGTTTTCAGTTCACAGCAAAATTGAATGAAACGTGTTATTTCCCAAATATCCCTCACCCTGTGCACACATTCCTCCACTTTTCCAGTGCACAAACAACTCATGGTAAAGTGATGAAGGGTGTAAGTTACAGGTTTGTTTAAGAAAAAAAAATGTGTTATTTTAATGGGGGGGGGGAACTTGTGTCCTCCAAGTGTGAACTGGTCACGGTTGTATGTGCTATTCTTTACCCCAAGAACCAACTGGTTCCAAAGCATATCCTGTTAAAGCATGAGTGAGACCCTAGGAAGCTTTTCTCTGGGGGCCTTGCTTGGGGAAGCGCACACTTTTTGAGTGGGCCGAATCAGTCCCCTGCCTTACAAAGCTCACCGATGGTCGGTCGTATTGAGTGTGGACAAGGAACATTTTAAGTTGGGTGGCAAACTACCACACCTCTCAGACCTGAACTTTCTCCTTTGAATAAGGTAGGGGTCTACGCACACTTGTTCTGCTGACAAAATGACATCTCTAGCTTCATGCTATCTCTGTCACTCCTGGGCCAAGGAAAGGCAGTTCTGAGGTCAAAACTCCATAGGCTTGAAGTGGCATTTTGGAAGGGGTTGGGTACAAATCTCCTATGTAGGAGACAGAATGGCCACCCCGTGCAGACAGGAGACACAGGAAGAAGTCTGCAGAAGGGGGTTGGAGTAGTGTCAGGTGCAGGTGGGGCCTTGTGCGGACACAAAGAAGACCTTTCTCTTTCCGAGCAGCTCTGCCAGGCCCTTCCGGCACCTTCCGCGGCCTGTCCTCCGCAGGCCCGCCAGGGGGCGGCCGTGCCCTCCGGCGGCTCGCTCAGGCCCAGGCGGCCGGGACGTGCGGGAGCCCAGGCCTCTGCGCGGTTCCCAAGCTGTGCAGACGTTAACTCATTCCCGCCCGGAGCAGAGGAGAGGCCCGCCTCCACCCTTTCTTCTCCGGGGAGGCGCCGACGGCCTCCGGGGGCGGCTGGCAGGCTGCCAGGACAGCCGGGAGTGCGGTCCCCTCCGCACGGCCGGGCTGAGGGGACCCGGGTGCCGCCGAGCACGAGCGGCCCGCTCACGGCCAGTCCCCGGCCGCAGCTTCCGGCGGCCCGAGGCCGGGCGGCGTTCGGGATATTATCTCTGGCGCCCGGACTGGGCGTCCGCTCCCCAGAACACCTGGGGCCCGGGCCTGCTTAGCCAGTGGGCGGAGGACACCGTGGGCCCGGGGATGGCCACGTCGGCCTGCGGGCCGGGCGGCGACCGGGGCGCCCGCTGAGGGCTCAGCCCCGGCCGGAGTGACTCAGATCGCCTCGTTTAATTACACAGTCCCCGGGCCGCCGAGTGCGATAGGAGCCTTTTGAACGTGCCAATTAGGGATGAAATATCACCTTCTAATTTGAACCGGTTTAATTCCGTCACATAGAAAATAGCAACAGCTCGGGGCTCCGAGATGGGATCTCGGGTCTCCCTTGGCATTCGCATGGGTGGAGGGGCGAGGCTGGCCGGAACTGAGGGGAGAGGGGGCCATGCTCCCTGCATATCACCCCCCCCCGCCCCCCTTTTCCCGGCGATTTACCCGGGCGAATCGCTCCAAGGGAAAAGCCCTCCTCCGGCCGCGTCGCCGGATCCGGGATTCCAGCCTTCCTCTCCGAGGCCTTGCGCTGGGGTTTGGAAACCGATGTCAGTTCAGGAGGGCCTCGGATGGGAGGAAGAGAAGGTCCGTCCTGTAGAGAGAAGGGCTGGAGAGGGAGGCAGTGAGGTGAGCGGAGGCCGGGGTTACTGGGAAGGGGCGTGCTGGAGCCTGTTTCTGCATTCGGAGCGGTTTAGAAGGTTCTGGAGCGCAGTGGGGTGCGTTTCAGGTAGGAAGCTTCCAAGCTGCCGGCTGACCTTGAGTGGCCGCTTGAGCTTTCCAAGCTATCTGCAAAGTTGATGCTCAACTACTCGGCCTTCTTGAAGACTTCCTACACAAAAACTCCTGTGCAACCGTGTGGAAGCCAGCAGCACCTGGCAGCCACTGTTTCAAAGAGGGCAGCCATGCAAGAGGCACGTTTTTACATTTTTCAAAAGTAAAAGCGGGCTAAATTGATTTAAATACATTTTTATTTAGCTCAGCATATGAAATTTTCAGAGAATTTTGTGTTTTGTTCGAGACAGGGTTTCCCAACTTTGTTGACTAGGCTGGCCTCGAACTCACAGATCCACAAGCTTCTGCCTCTCTAGTGTTAGAGATCTAGTGTTAGAGATTACAGGTGTGCCTCACCGCACCGGCTTTTTAAAAATTTGTTTTTTAATATTTTATTTTATGTGCATTGGTGTTTTGCCTGCATGTGAGGATGTCAGATCTCCTGGAACTGGAGGTACAGACAGTTGTGAGCTGCCATGTAGGTATTAGGAATTGAACCTGGATCCTCCAGAAGAGCAGTTAGTGCTCTTAACCACTGGGTCATCTCTCCAGAGCCATCTTTGCAGCCTCGTCCCCCCCCCCCTTTAATTGTGTGTGTGTGTGTGTGTGTGTGTGTGTGTGCGCGCGTGTGGGTATGTGCACTTAAGCACAGGTGCCTACACAGGCCTGAAGAAGGTATGAAATCCCCTGAAGCTTGAGTTTAAGGCAGTTAGGAGCTATGAGTCATGAGCGTTGGGAACCCAACTCCACTCTTCTACAAAAGCAGTACATGCTCTTAACCGCTAGGACATCTTTCTAGACACAGCTCAGTATTAAAAAAAAAAAAAAAGCCCAGAGCTGGACACTTTTCAGGTATGTGCTGGCTATCTGAGAAGCTGAGGTAGGAAGGTCACTTGAGGCCAGCTTGGTAACATATAGAGACCTGGCTCAAAAACCAACCAACAAGAGGCTGAAGAGGTGGACCAGTGGTTAAGCACAGTAGCTGCTCTTCCATAGAACCCACAACCAACTGTATTCCAGTCCCAGAGGACCCAGCACCCTCTTTTGGCTTCCCCAGGTACCAGGCATGCAAGTGGCACATACATGCAGGCAGACATCTTATTAAATTTAAAAATAAATAGTTTTAATCTTATATTGATTATATTACTGAGAAATTATGGTTTTTATTAAGTCTTCAAATGTTTACACTTAATGGCACATCTCAATTTGGACTAACTACATTTCAGGGGCTTAGCACATAAGGCCATGCTTTGGACGTCACCAGGTTTTTGTTCATAATCCCTTTTAGAGTTAGGTGGGCAGGCACACATTTATAATCCAGCACTCAAAAGGCTGAAACACAAGGATTACTGAATTTCTGAGGCTAGCCTGGAATACGTAGTAGCTTCCAGGCCAGCCTGGGCTACATGTCAAATAAACAAACAAACAAACAAACAGCTTGGCTGGATGAGATTATGCTTGCTTGCCTTTAATCCCAGTACTCGGGAGGCAGAGGCAGGTGGATCTCTGGGTTCCAGCCTGATCTACAGAGTGAGTTCAAGGACAGTCAGGGCTACACAGAGATATCCTGTCTCCAAAAAACAAAAACCCAGCTCATCATCACTTTTAGCAGAGAACTATGGTTTATAAAACAAGGAAGAGAAGGAAGGACAGAAGAAATGAAAAGCAAGGAGGAAGGAAGACAAAGCTTACATAGAACCCCAAAGCCTACCACAGAGGGATGAACTGTTTTGAAGTTCTGTGGGATCACCTCTCCCTACTCTCCTCTAACAGTACCCTGAAAGTCACCCTCGTCCCTAGCATTTTGAGACTCTATGCACAGTAGGACGCAAGGTAAAACTGTTGAGGTGGGTGACAATACCTTAAGTTTGGGACTAACTTTATAAACTGCATGTGCTATGTAACTCCTGTAGGTTCCCACCACACCCCGTGAGGTAGGCAGGGCATCATTCATTCCATCACCAGAAAATAGGCTCAATTCCTGGCAATGTGACTTCAGAAAATCCCACCTCCCATCTCACTGCCATCCTACAGAACACCTGCTCAGGGCTTTCCAGATGCCTAAAAGGCCATGAGATGAGCTTGATAGTACATTCCAACTTTGTAATCCAGATGCTACTGTGCTTGCCATTCTCAGTCTCTCTTTTTCTCTCTACCCCCCTCTCTCTTTCACACACACACACACACACACACACACACACACACACACACACACTGTATCAGGTACTAAATTAAGCACTTACATTTCTGAATTGTAAGAATTCCCTAATTCTTATAATCCTAATACCATTTTTTAGAGGAAGAACCTGTCCCAGATAGGTGAATGAATTTACTTACCCAAGGAAACACAGCTAGGAAGCTGTAGGATTAGAATGTGAAACTGGGGCTCTTCTGAGGGAGGGTTCTAGGGATGGAGCCCAGTCTCAAAAATACTAGGCAATTACTCTAACCTCTGAGTCCCAAGCCTCAAACTAGAGCTTTTGATGGCCATGTTTCTCTCTAGGGCACAGGTCTCCTCTAAGTATTAAAAGTGACTTCTTGATGCCGTTATACACCGATGGGAATTGAGTTTGTTTCTTAGAGTAGCAGCTTGGAGTCTAGGCAGGTGCAGACTCTTGTTCTGCTGCTTCCTCTGAGCTCTCGTGCCCTCCAGTGTAAAAGGGAATAATGCAGAGACTGACTCAGATGACCTGCTACGTGCCTCACCCATCTGTAAGTGGGAGGAAGATTCCAGCTGAAGAATCTACCTTTGGAGCCAGTCTCACTCCCAAGAAGGCTCTGGGGCAGGGCTGTGGAAGGCTTTAACCCTTTGCATTCTGTTATCATAGGCCTAGCCCTAGCCACCCTCCATCAAGGAGTTGCATGGGTGCTCTGTACTTTCCAGTTCTAAAGTGCCAATCATCTGGGAATAAAGGGCACAGAGTTGGAACCACCCAAGATAGCCTGGGGCACCAGATCGGGAAAAGAGACCAGACAGGGCCATGGTTCTGAGTGTAGCTGTGATCCAGAGGGCTGCTTCAGTACAATCAACCCTGCCCAGGCCCGGCTTGGATGTGGGCAGGGAGACTATCATGACGTGCTCCCTAGTGGGTACAATGCCCTTCCCAGAAGAATAGACTGGGAACAGAGGTGACACTTGTAGAACCATCTTTGCTATAGTAAGAGGACTGGTTGGGATACTAAATTAAGCACTTACATTTCTTAATCCTAACAATTCCCTAGTTTTTATAATCCCAATACTACTTTCAGAGAAACAAACAGGCCCAGAGAGGTGACTGAATTTACTTACCCAAGAACACACAGCTAGGGTTGTAGGACTAGAGTGTGAAACCAGGGCTCTTGTGAGGGAGGGGTGTTAGGACCGCTGCAGCAAAATCTTGGGTTCTGAGAGCGCAGGCAGAAAGTGCTTTGTGTTAGCACTACAATGCCCCTTCTGTGTGATGGACTCAGAGTTCCTCTACTCTCAGTGAAGGCTGGAAATGGTTTCAGAGGTTTCCTTAGTGGTAACAGCTCAGTGGTGTCATGCACACTGTGAGTCTGCATCAAGGTAATGTAGGAGAGCAGCAGGATCTGGCAGGCAGGGACCAGAGGAGCAGCTAGCCCAAGAGTGAGGCTTACTGAGCAACTCAGATAGGTGGGGAACCTATCAAATCAGAACAGCTTATCTCAGCACAAACCAAGTCACACTGGTTTTCAAGGCAGCAACTGTAGCTAAACTTGAAACATGAACTGGAGAACCCAGCTTCCCGGCCCTCTGCTCTGTCCTGAAGACTAGACTATAGTTACACTTTCTGATCGCATGTCTGAGAGTTGGATCGTGGTGTGCCACTGAGAGCATCCTTCTGTCCATGCTGAGTTGACGCGCTCTTACCCACTTCCTGTCCCAGACACTCCCTATTTTCACTCCCATCTTCTGTAGAACCAGGACAGCCAAGGCACCGTAGAATCCCACCCTGAACAGCTTCAATATTTAGAGCTACCTCGCTTCTAAGTTCCCGGGGCCCTGCTGCCACACTTGTTTATCCGGGCTCTTGTTGAGAATTAAAACCTGGCTCACCAGGAAGGTCAAGCATGTGGGTTTGCAGCTCAGTGATAGTGCATTTGCTTAGCGTTCTTGAGTCCCTGGTCTCCATCCACAACACACACACATGCACACGTGTGTACCCGAATACCCACATACCACACACACACACACACACACACACACACGTACATGCACAGACACCTCTCCTTTAGCAGTGGGAGTTATACTCTTCCAATATTAAGTTCATCTTTTGTGGTTCTGTTGCTGGGGTGCGGGATGAGGGAAAATGAATTTCTAACACATATTTTTCGGGTATTTTTGGCTTGCAGTGCCTGCATCTACCTACAGCCCGTCCCCAGGAGCCAATTATAGTCCAACTCCTTATACCCCCTCACCTGCTCCTGCTTATACCCCCTCGCCTGCACCCACCTACACCCCCTCGCCTGCACCAGCTTATACTCCCTCACCTGCCCCAAACTATAATCCTACCCCGTCAGCTGCCTACAGCGGGGGCCCTGCTGAGTCTGCCAGCCGTCCCCCCTGGGTGACCGATGACAGCTTCTCTCAGAAGTTTGCTCCCGGAAAGAGCACCACCTCTGTCAGCAAGCAGACCCTGCCTCGGGGGGCTCCAGCCTACAATCCCACAGGCCCACAGGTGACGCCTCTTGCCAGGGGCACCTTTCAGCGAGCTGAGCGCTTCCCAGCCAGCAGCCGGACTCCCCTCTGTGGCTACTGCAACAATGTCATCAGGTACAGGCTTTGGTGGGGGGGGGGGGGGGGGGCAGGGGGGGGGGCAGATATGGGCAAGAGGCCAGCCACGCAGGGCAGCCTTGGGTGTCTCTGGCTTACCTCCATGAGCTTTAGCTGCCATACCTGTGTGACACCCACATCCCTAGGGAGCTGGGAGGATTCCATGAGGTAAGTGGGTGAAGCTCCCATTGTGGTGCCTGGTGCCAGGAGCTGCCCCTTAGGCTAAGGCTGGGTTCTGGGAATCTTCAGCCTTGTTGTCAGTAGGTTTATTGAGCACATTGCAAGCTGGATGACAGTCCCGGTTTGCCCCAGCTTTCCTGTAGAGTTGCTTCTGGATCATTCTACAGACAGTCCCATGCCTCTTAAAGCTCTGAGAAACGCTTCACTGAAATTTTTTGTTTGTTTGTTTTGTTTTTTCGAGACAGAGCTTCTCTGTGTGGCCTTGGCTCTCCTGGACTCACTTTGTAGACCAGGCTGGCCTTGAACTGAAAGCAACCCGCCTGCCTCTGCCTCCCAGAATACTGGGATTACCGGTGTGCACTACCACCGCCCGGCCCACTGGGATTGAGGCAAGTCATTTCACTTAGAAGTCAGAGGTCTCAGACAGTGCTTGTTGAATTCAGTAAATCTGTGTATACATGTGGCGTGTGCTTCCATATGTGAAAAACACACTCTTTAAAAACAAGCAGAGGCTGGTGGTGCATGCCTTTGACCCCAGCACTAGGGAGGCACAAGCAGGCAGAGCTCTGTAAATTCAAAGTTATGCTATCCTAGAAACTTGTTCCAGGCCAGCCAGGGCTAAAAAGTGAGATTCCGTCTCAAAAACAAAACGAGCAGAGAGCTAGAAGATGCAGAACGGGGTGGGGGGAAGGGAGGGTCATAAGGTTTTCTGATAGTTCTGGTGTTCTGAACACTAACCTGAAACCAGACCGTCATGTTTTTGCTGTATCTACCATTTCCTAGCCTATGACCTTGAGTGAGTTCCTCAGCCTTCCTGTGTCTTCACCATAATAGTTCCTCCTTCATATAATTGTTATGAGGATTAAACATATTAACAAATGCAAAGTTATTCTTGAAGAGTGTCTAACAAAGAGCCGTTTACCAAAGATTAGCCACCGTAATCACTGCTGTCAGAGTAGCCTATGGTAAACTGGTGTGTCCTCTATGGTAGAGACTGGAATTGCTTCCAGGCTCTGGGCGTTGGGTATCACATTGTTCCTTTATGACAGAGTCTCACTGTGTGGTCCTGGATGGCCTGGAACTTACTATGTAGACCAGGCTCTTGAACTTGTAGAGATCTGCCTGCCAAGTGCTGGTGTATTCACCATATGGCATGTACCGTGGTGAACATGTATATACCATTCCCCATGTTCCAGTCCTGTTTCCTGGAACTGACATGACAATAAACTTGTTCTGCCTGGGGCTTTCTCAGAATTACATGCTAGTTCGTTAGAACAGTCGGTTCTCAAAGTGGACATTACTAGGTTAAGGTATAAACGACGTTGAGGTTCTTAAGAGATCTGATTCTAATTTCTTGGGTTCATTTTACTATTGTTCTCTGCCATCCCAGGGGTCCTTTTTTGGTAGCCATGGGGCGCTCTTGGCACCCAGAAGAGTTCAATTGTGCCTACTGCAAGACTTCCTTGGCGGATGTATGCTTTGTGGAGGAGCAGAACAACGTGTACTGTGAACGGTGTTACGAGCAGTTCTTTGCTCCGGTCTGTGCCAAGTGCAACACCAAAATCATGGGGGTAAGTGGGCAGCAGCCCTCTCCTTTGGCCTCTTTCTCTCCTCTTCAGCTGGACTCACTTCCTCGCCCCCTCTAAGATTTTGGGGTATTAGAAACTCAACAAGTCGCGGATAAAAGAGAAAGCAACTCCAGCTCCCAGGAGAGAATTAGGTTGCCACTAACTGCTGAACCAGGGAACCAATTAACTTGAGGAAGGAATGATATTCACACATGCCGCCAGCTTCAAATGCTGCTGGGGCTCAGCAAAGCAAGTTCCTGCTTCATAGCCTAACCTCCCCTCCCCTCTGCAAAGTGGCTATAATAAGCAGGCCCTCCCTCCTCCACCTTCCCTGTCTTCCTGCTTTGAGAGCTCTCCTGCCCTGCTCCCTAGGCTACTTGGGCAGCAGCCAAGCCTGGCGTGAAAGCCAAGCCTAGCTCCCTTCCCCTGGGAGGTTTTCTTTCCTAAACTGGGACTCTCTCCTCCAGGAAGTGATGCATGCTCTGCGACAGACATGGCACACCACCTGCTTCGTCTGCGCAGCCTGCAAGAAGCCTTTTGGGAACAGCCTCTTCCACATGGAGGATGGAGAGCCATACTGTGAGAAAGGTAGGCATGTGGGCTATGGTACACATAGGAAACAATGTGACACCATGCTGGAAGGCCCTGCACGCATGTACCATCTGGGTTGACAGGCAGGCATAGAAAACGAACTCCTGCCTATGTCCACTCACATCTTACTATGGGGGGGGAAGGGGTGTGTTTTGTTTCATGTGTGGTACTGGGAATCAAAACCCAGGGCCTCACACAAGTTTCAGGTCTTGTTTTTAATGGCTGAATCATGCTATTACAACTTGCTCATTTAGTTTCAGCTTCTGGGGAAAAGGAGTCAGAATTACAATGTATTTTGTATACCTGTTCCCTTCCTTGTTTCCAATATTTGAATCACACATTGGTTCCCTAACTACTTGAGAAACCTTTCAATTATGTTGACTTGACATCTGGGTCTAGTCTGAAGAGGTTCGGCTCCAGACTTCATTCTAGATTCTATTCTGGGTTCCACCCTGAGATGGCTTTGTAACCCCGAGTAAAGCTGCTAAAGTTCTCAACGCTGTAAACACCTGCCTTATTGGGTTGCTATGAAGATGGAAGCAAGGAGGGGCTGAGGCATGGAATGCTGAGCACCCTTTCTTCCTTGCTGCTGAAGTGTCTTTCATGTCTCTCCAAACTTCATGCACTTCAAAGTGTAATATGTTATTCTAAACTGTGGGGAATTGTGGTAAGTTCAGGAGACACAGGTGTCCAGACTAGCTGGCCTTTTAGTCCCGCACTCCTTCCTTCACAGCCTGCCTCTTTCAGGAAGGATTTTGAGCCAGGACCCAGTAAGGGGAACACAGACATAACGGCTGACACAGCAACACCAGAAAATCACATGACAAACAAGGAATCTGGTTACCAAGAAAAAATGGAGCTGCAGTAGATTTGAAACAAAAAGAAAGACACGGTTGATATTTAAACCAGAGAGGAAAAACCACTCCAGTTCCTCCATGGAAAAAGCAAGCCAAAACCTTTTCTAATTGTGAATTTTAAAGAAACTTCTTTGGCCTTTTTATATTGGTGAGCTCATTTTCCAGCTCCAAAGTAAACTGAATTGCTTTCAACAGTTGATCCTCCTGTGCTTCAGTCTCAATGCTGTAAGAAGGAAACGACAACAGCTCTCTTTTAACCTTTTATAATAGTCAGTATCACACCATTGGTACTGTACTTGGTTCTGAGCTAGTTAATACTCCTTACCCTGTAGAAACATATAACATAAAATTTACCACCTTACCCATTTTAAGTATATAGTTCAGAATGTGTAAGTGCAATTATTAGCAGAAGTCTCATTCTGTAGAATAATTGGGAAAAAATGCTATTCTTTAGAAAATAATATTAGTCATCTCTGTGCTATCAAATTTTTCTTGAGACAAGGCTTATTTGTGTAGTCCTGTCTGACTTGGAACTAGCTCTATAGACCAGGCTGGCCTAGAACTCAGAGATCTTTCTGCCTCTGCTGGGATTAAAGGTATGGGCCACCACTGCTGTCTTATAGATTTATAAAGCAAAGTCTCCAGATCACACAAAATCAGGTTTAAAATAGAAAAATCAATCTTTAAGCAAGACTTCCAGAAGTAGATTCTAGCTGTTTTAAGAACAAATTTGTGAAAAAACAACAAGGGAAGGAATTACTATTTAATAAGGCTGATTGAACCATTTCTTTATTTCCTGTTCATCTTTTATCTACAAAACATGTGTTGAATGTTTAGTCTATATCAGTTTCTATGAAGTCTTTTGCCCTCAAAATCCTTAAGCAGGAGCCAACAAATGGCTGAGTGTGTGAAGGTCTTGTCATGAAAACTTGGCTGCCTAACTCTGACTCCTGGAAGCCACAGTGGAAGTAAAGCAGGAGAGAGCCAGCCCCACAATTGTCCTCTAACCTGTACATGTACTTCATGGCAAAAATCATACACACTAATAATAGTAATAATAAGCTTTTTAAAATCTTGGGCTGGAGAGAGGGCTCAGTGGTTAAAAGCACCAACTGTTCTTCCAGAGATCCTGGCTTCAACTCCCAGCACCCACATGACAGATCACAACTATCTCTGGGATCCAATGCCCTCTTTTGGCATGCAGATATACATGCAAACAAAACATCAATATACATAAAAGAAATAAGTATTTAAAAATATTCATTGTTGTTTTGCCTGCATGTATGTTTGTGTGAGGGTGTCAGAAGCCCTGGAACTGGAGTTAACAGACATGTGTGAGCTACCATATGGGTGCTGGAAATTGAACTGGGGTCTTCTGGAAGAGCAACCAGGGCTCTTAATCACTGACCCATCTCTCCAGTTCCCATAAGTAAGCTTTCTTTTTCTTTTCTTTTTTTTTTTTTTTAACTCTTAAGGAAAGCTATTAATGTGGGGCCTACTGGCATAGACATTCAAGAATGATGGATGGGTCTTCTCCCTCCTCTTACCATTTATGAAGTCTTCTAAAATAAGAGTCAACAGCTAATATTTATGCCAAATGCTTCATACATGTCTTAATCTGGCCCATAGCGGTAATCCCTTGAGTTTGGTGCCATAATCATCTGCATTATATAGATGGGAAGTTGGCATCACTGAGAGGCTACCCCAGGTGTAAAGAATTCCTTAATGGATGGAGCTGGACTTTGAACTAGCTCTTTCTTTTCTCAGACTCCATGTTTATAAACTTGGTGGCACACTGCCTCTCAGTATGTGGTCTCAGTGAGTGGACATACTGTCCACATGAGATGAACATACCTCAGGGGGAGTTCTGTTCAGTGGGAGCTGTGGCACAGCTGTGGAGAGACAAGTACATTTGGGGAACGGGGGAAGGCAAGGAGGAATGAAGTTTTCAAATGGATCTGAACTTTTCTGTAAAATGTCTACAGTAGTATTGTAGGATTGCTGCCACTCTGAGAAAGGAGCACTGGACAGGATGAGGCCTCAAGTGTGGGCCTCTGGCCCTTATTTCTTTGGGGCTCAATTTCATCATCCATAAAAAAGAGAAAAAAATTAAAAAAATATCAGTCCATCTCTGAGAAGACATTGTGAAGATAAGATTCATTCATTTACTGATTCACTAGTTTGCCACAACTGTGGTAAATTCACTGATTTTCTGATTTACACCTGTGTTGAGTATTGACCACCAACTCAGCGTCATGTTGGAAGACAAAGGAAAGTAAGGCTGGTTCTTAATGTTGAGGTTCTCATAAGGAACGTCGCTTCTCTTAATCCATCTGGTTTTAGTGTAGCCAGATATCTGGGGCAGGGCTATCTATAGTGAACTGAAACATATTTGGTTTGTACTTCTGAAGGCTGGAAGTCCAAGGTCAAGGTCAAAGGCTTTGTTAAAGGCTTTCTTATATCATCCCATGTAGAAGGTGGAGGGGCAAAGGAGAAAGAGAAAAAAAAAAGTGGGCTCCAGGAGGCCAGGTTTATTTTTTTGAGACTCCCACTCCTCCTGAACCTATTCCCTCAATAAAAACATTAATTCATTCAGAAAACCTAAGTGCCTCCCATTAGGCTCTGCCTCCCAACATTATTACACAAGGAGTATGCTTCTTTTTCTTCTTTTTAGGAATGTACTTCTAACGTGAACTGTGGGGACACGTCCAAACCACAGCACCATCTTTGTGAATGTAGTCACTAAACATTGTGAATAGTCGTTTGTAGTATTATCTCCTGCCTTAGAGGGAGGAGAAGGACCTGCCCCTGTAGAAAAGCTCAGATATTGAATATAGTAGTGAAAATTGTTGTCAACATGAATGCCCAATGGCAGCAGAATGGTTGAACAGACACCATTCTAAAATTACTAAAAAGTCTATAGAGCTGGGCTATAGAGATGGCTTTGTGGATAAGAGCAAATACAGTTCTTGCAGAGAATCCGAGTTCACTTCCCAGCGCTCATGTCAGTCTGTAACTCTAGTTCTAGGGGACACAACACCTTCCTATGGTCTCCATGGGTACCTGCCCTAATGTGCATGGAACACACACACCCCCGCACGCAGAGAAAGCTCTTCCTAGAGAGCACATACTGGCCAGGCGGTGACGAGGTGGTGGCAGCTAGAGTTCATGTGCCTCACACTTTCAGTCTTAGCATTTGGGAGGCAGAGGCAGGTAGATCTCTGAGTTCCAGGCCAGCCTGTATACAGAGCAAGTTCTAGGAAAGCCAGGACTACAGAGAGAAACCCCAGTCTTGAAAACAAACAAACAACAACAACAAAAGAATACATACTACTACAGAGTGCCCAAGTTAGGTTCCTAATACCCATGTAGTGTGCTTTAACAGCTTTAACAGTCTACAATTCCAGCTCCAGGGTATCTAATGACATGCACACACACACATACACACACACACACACACACACCTAAAAGTAAAATAAAACCCAAGGAGGAAAAAAAAAAAACCTTGAAGATCCTCATTTTTTTCAAAATGAGCCTACTGATTGGGCAATGAGGGATATTTTAAAAATTTCTGTTTGGGGATTGACCTCTTTGGACTATCTGAGGAGACACACAAAAAGAAAACAATTACCCTCAAGGAAGTTCACAATGATTCCAGAAAGAATTTTCAGATCAAACCAGCACAAGAAGTTAACTGAGTCCGAGTCTGAGTCAACACAGCATTGGTACATATTATCAAAAAAGTGAAAAATAAAATCAGTCATGTGAGTGACTGTTTTGTTTGTGAGATGATCAAGCCCACTGCTCCCAGCCCACAGAGGTGGGGTTCTCCCAGCCCACTCATGTGGGGGTCCCCTAGCCCACTCATGTGAGGTTCCCCCAGCCCACTCATGTGGGGTGTCCTGGTCTTGGGTCTCTGCCTGCCTCATGATGAATTTCATTTCAGACTACATCAATCTGTTCAGCACCAAGTGTCATGGATGTGATTTCCCTGTGGAAGCTGGTGACAAGTTTATTGAGGCCCTGGGGCACACCTGGCATGACACATGCTTCATTTGTGCGGTATGTTTCTAACCTGGGGTTCCAACTATCTGAGCAGGGGACAGAAGGGACAAAGTGCAGCCTAGCTGGCTAACCCCTTGACATAGAATGATGTAACTGTGTCACTCTGGCACCATGATGGTTTCCTAAAGTCTGCAAGCGCTACATCGTCGCAGGTGAAGAAAGCTGTATTACTGACGATTATTTAGAGACCAGTTAGCACCAAAGCACCCTGGGATTTGGAGAAGCAGCACATTGTCTTTACCTGCAATAGGTAAGGCCAGGAAACAATGGCTTAGAGAAGCAGGTGGCTTCCTAAGCTTATATTCTGCCTTGGTTATGAAATGGCATGAGGGCTGTCTCAAGAATCCCAAGGCCTTTACTTATTGACTTGGCCTGTGAAAGGCTGAGATAAGGTTTCTCTTGGTAGAGCCTTTAGAAAGCAGGACAAAGTATCACTTTCCTTTCCTAAGTGGTCCTGTTTGTCATGCACGGCAGCCAGCTGGTAGACCTGAGATTAACTATTAACTGTGTGCAGTTAGCTGAAGCAGAAGGGCATCTTACTAGGACACTGACCTTCCCATTAGAGGGCAGTCAGCTAAGGTGAGACTGGGAAACTGTGCTCACCACTGTTTGGACTTAAGCTGGAATCAGGAAATGCTCATCCCTAATAAATCTCTGTAATGTCAAATCTAGTGGCTTAACTTCATTTAGGAAAATGAATGCCCTATTAGTATTTTAAGAACTAGAGTTACTGAAGGTGAATTTGAGGTATGTATGATGTATCTGTGCTGTTTAGGGCATGTAGCTCTGTTCATAGACTGTTTACCTAACATGCATGAAGCCCTTGTTCAATCTCAAGCATCATATAAACTGACTGTGGTAGCATACACATATAATTTGAGCACTTGAGAGATGGAGACAGGAGGATTGAAAGTTCAAGGTTATTCTCAGTTACACAGTGAACTCAAGGCCAGCTTTGGAAATAGGAAGCCCTGTCTATAGACAGATAGATAGGTAGAAAAGAAACATCTGTGCTGTTTAAGCGTGAACAATCTTTTAGGGATTCAGGATGGAGGATAATTCAAGTCATCAAGCTCACTGCCATTATGTTTTGAGTTCTATACTTAATTCTTTGCCCCCACTATTTGTGGGGTGCATTATGTTTACTGTATTAGTTTCCTAGGTTATTATAATAATAGGGGCAGCAGAAATATATCCTCTCATAGTTCGGCAGGACAAAAATAAAAAATCTAAGTGCCTATAAATAGCCACACTCTTCCCATTCCTTGACTAGTGTCAGTGTTCTAGTCTTTCTTCCATTGTTACAGTGGCTGCATTCTGTATGTGCATATGTGTGTATGTGTGTTGGGGGGTCCCTAGCTAAGGCTGGATGAACTTCTTTTTGTTTTGTTTTGTTTTGTTTTGTTTTCCCAGGATCTCACTATGTAGTTCTGGCTGTCCTAGAACTCACTATGTAGACCAGGATTGTCTCCCCCTCATAGAGCTCTACCTGCCTGTGCCTCCTGAGTGCTGGGATTAAAGGCATGTGCCACCATGCCCAGCTGAGTATGACCTCAGTTAACTGACGTCTTAATTAGGTCTGCAAAGGCTTCATTTTTAGATGGGTTCCTTGCTATGCCCAATGCACTGGGTAGGCTAGGGATACTGAAGGTTAGGACTTCAGGATATAAATCTGTTTAGCATGGCTTTGCTACATTATCTAGGCTGGCCTTGAATTCCTGGGTTCCTAGGATCCTTCTACTACAGCCTCTCAGGCAGCCAGAATCAGGCAGGCATCACTATGCCTAGTCTCAGTATATGAATTTTTGTTTTGTTTTGTTTTTCAAGACAGGGTTTCTCTGTGTAGCCCTGGCTGTCCTGGAACTAGCTCTGCAGACCAGGCTGGCCTCCAGCTCCAAGATGTGCCTGCTTCTGCCTCTTCAGGGCATGTGATTTAAATCCTTACCACTCTTAACATTCTTTGAACAAATTCTTTACTTGCTTTTAAAAAGTCCTTTTAAATACATCAGGTCTTCTCCAGAATAGGGAGAGTGTGTGACTGTGTGCCTTTAGGATGGCCTCCTGCACAGCTGGGGCTCAGCCAGGCAGATCATAGAGCTTTGACTCTTACTTTCAAGCCTCAGCTTGCTTGACACTGATTACAAATCCGGGTACCCAATGTTTAGAAGGATCCAAGAGACCTGGAGAAGGTCCAGGAAGAGGCATAGAGGCTGAAGAGAGTTGAGAGGGAATGGTGGCAGAGGTCATCAAGGGACTGATCCCTTGAGTCTGCTGTGCTGGATTCATGATTCTAGACTAGTAGCAGCAAGAAGTAAGTTTGGGGTAGAACAAGAGTTCCAGAGACTTAAGAGCAGTCAAGGGTGGGAGACCCACAGGAATACCTAGCTGATTTGCTGGGAGAAACTGGGAAGATCTTGTCCCTTGAAAATGACACAAGATTGTTGGGTCTTTCTCTTGATCCAGCCCCATGTTGTTCTCCCTGCTCTCTGCAGACACTTAGGTAGAACGAGGTTCTAGTGTTTGGGAGGAAATCTCCAGGTTGGAAAACTATGCGCCCAATCTCCACCTTCCCTCTCTCTGTCCCCCTCTCTCCTTTCTCAGTGCTAAAGGACTGACCTGGAGCTTTGTGTGTGTTAGACAAGTGATCTGACTTTTACAAGTGATTCTTACCATTTACTAAATCCCTAAATCAGATTTTCCTCCTTCTTCTTTTCATCCTTTCTCTTCTTCTTCTCCTCCTCAAGGGTCTTCTTTCTATTGTTTTTACATTTCCCGATTATTTCCTTATCTGTTTGTCTACTAATGAAGCCCAGAATAGGCTTAAGTTCTAAGAGCCTCCTGAGTTCTGGGAATGCAAGCACACACCACCAAGCCTGGCTCTAAACACTTCGTTTTGCTTGCAATAGGATCTTACTACATAGCTTTGGCTGAACTTAGGTAATCCCCCTGCCTCAACCTCCCAAGTGTTGGGGTTCCAAGTCTTTACCGCAACACCCAAATTGTTTTTAATGAACATACATTTTCATATGCTGTTTTTAAACCTCACACTGTAGTAATTAAAAACACAAAAACAAAACCAACCAAAGAAACGAACAGCCAAACAAACAATAAGAAAGATTTAGACCAGCTCTTTTACGGTTGCACCACTTTATCAGTTAAATCATGGGATATAGCACATTCTTAATTTTTTTTTTAAGACAAGGTCTCATGCAGCTCAGGTCAGTCTTCTTGAACTCAGTATTTAACCAAGGATTACATGGGGCTTTAATGGCCCATTGAAACCAAAAAACTGAAAACTACAGACCTCTACCTCCCAAGAAAGGGCTGGAACTATAGGTGTGCACTACCCAGGCTCTTGGTTATTGACACGTACATGTATTTATGTGTGTGTGTGTGTGTGTGTGTGTGTGTGTGTGTACATCCATATGTGTATATGAGTGTGTATAAGTCTTACCATTTTACATTATTGTGGGGATGGGGTGTATGTGTGTGTGCATGTGAATGCAGGTGTCAGCAAAGGCAAAAGAAGACATCAGAGCTTCTTGAGCCGCAGTGATAGCTGGCTATCAGCTGCCTGAAGTGGGTGCTAGGAACCAAACTCTGCTTCTCTGTAAGACCAGGGAGTGCTGTCGACTGGTGATCCAGCTCTCTCCCACATTTCTCTTTTAAATGTTATTATTCTGAAGGTATATTTAAAAAAACTTAAAACTTCATTAGCACTATGTTAAGTATCTGTGGATGAATGACGTATGTGAGTGAGTGTAGGGCCTCTGGCGCATGGCATGAGTGTGGAAGGCAGAGGGAAACTTCATGGAGTTTTGTTCTTGTGTTTTTATGTATCACAAAAGTGTACATAATTATCTTTCTTCTGAAGGAAATTTCATTAATATGTTCCTGGTCATACGTAAACAGGCCTCATTCCCTTTGCACACTGCTTCCTTTTTTTTTTTTTTTTTTTTAATTAGGCTCTTCTTTTTCTTTCTTTAATTTTTTGGCTACCATCCTGAAATATCTTTTGTCTTATCTATTTTGCTATGTTAATAGGTATAGAATCTCTGAGAGTTCTCCCCCCCCTTAATTATTTAGTGAGGACAATCTTTGATGGTTTATTAGTTTGCTAATAGTGCTTACTTGAATGTTAATTCCTTCCGTGGGAACTGACTTCTTAACTTGTACTGATTTCATATATACTTTGGATAGTAATGCAACCTTGCATGGCCTCAGCATTGATGTAACAAGGGCAACACAGAATGAAGAAACATACAAGTATGACAGACACATACATGCACAGAAAAGCTGGGATTGGGTGAGTCATGATCTCTGATGGAGGGGTGCCAGCAGCAGCTTGGAAACTGAGTTTATTTTAAACATCTGAATTGAGGAGATCAGGTTATTATATACAGCTAAACAAGGAGGCAGGTTTAGCTAATATCTATAGTGGAGCAGTCTCAGGCTGTAATCATCCGGAAGAGGAAAGCTGTGGTCCACATTTCCTGTACCCGATCAATGTCTTAGTTAGGATTCTATTGCCGTAAGAGATACCATGACCATGGCGACTCTTATAAAGGAAAACATTTAATAAGGGTTAGCTTAATAAGGGTTCAGAGGTTTAGTCTGTTATCATCACGTTGGGAAGCATGGTGGCACATGGCAGACATGGTGCTGGAGAGGTAGCTGAGAGTTCTACATCCAGATCAGCAGGCAGCAGGAAGAGAGAGTGTCACTGGGCCTGGCTTGAGCACCTGAAACCTCAAAGCCCACCCCCAGTGGCATACTTCCTCAAACAAGACCACACCTACTCCAGCAAGGCTACATCTCATAATAGTTCCACTCCCTATGGGCCTATCAGGGCCATTTTCACTCAAACCACCACAATCAGCATCTGCCCACAGACCAGGGGGTGCTTTTTGTCATTTCCCTGAGACTAATCAGGGGAAGTCTTTGCTGTTCCTGTGGGTCTGAGCCATGGGAGTCCTTTACTTGCTTGTGCCCATGTCAACAACACACATTCACTCAGGACTTCGTCTGCTCCCCACAGAATGGCATGAATTAGACATTCTCATCAAGTATATACTCTACTCCACTAGATTTAACTAACTTGACTCTTAGTCCATGCTCTTTGGAAGTCTTATCTTATTTTGGTATTTATATGCTTATTATAGACAGTCTCAAGTAGCTAAAATGGCCTTGAACTTTTGTAGATCCTCCTACCACCTCCCTAGTGTTAGGAGTACAGGCATGCCCATCAAACCTGATTTATGTGGCTCTGGGAATCAAAGCCAGGGCTTTGTGCATGATAACCATGAAACTGGCTACATCCTCAATCCCCTGGAAGTCTTCATGTTATATGGTTCAGTTATATATTCTGTTTAGTCATTAAGGCTGCTTCTTCTGGCTAGGTGCAACAGTGCATTTTTCTAAAGGGTGACTCTGTTTTCCCTCCCAGGTCTGCCATGTGAATCTGGAGGGGCAGCCATTTTACTCCAAGAAAGACAAACCACTGTGCAAGAAGCATGCGCATGCCATCAATGTGTAGGGGCCCAAGGTGGCTGGCGAGGGCCAAGCCCAGGCTGCTCCTGCTACCGACAATGAAGGAGTCAAAGAAGCTGATGTTTCTTCTTAGGGGGGAAAGGGAGCGAGAGGAAATGATTGAGCCCTTTTGAAGTCTAATTTTAGTCTTTTCTTATACACATAGATTGTGTATTTTCGTAGTTCAGACTGGAGGCCAAAAGAAGATGCTGAATCCAGCCAGTAATTAATCCATGGCTGGAATTGCACTTCAGACTTTTGGGGAAGGATTCCAACAAATCAAAAGTGGAAAAACAAAAAGCAATGTTCAAAAACCATAGGCTCCCTGACCATCACTGTCACCAGCGTAGGGACAGAGCTCAGGGCAGTTATGGAGAATCCAAAGCATGCAGCAGACTTCTGGAAAGCTCCTTGGCAAACACAACGATGTGCCAAACTGTATTTGCTGGGGTTATTTTTAGAGCCAGCACTGAGAGCTCCTTAGCTAAGCCCCATTGGACTTTCCTCACCAAAAAAGGAAGAGTTTTTCCATTAGCACCCAAGAGCCACCTTTGCGAATTAGACTTCAGATGTTGAACAAACTTGAAGCAGTAAGGGGAGCCCACACATCTGAGGCAGTGTCCGGCCCCCACTGGGCAGATGAAAACGCTCCAGGGAGGTCTTTGGCCCAGGCCACTGACAGCTGAGAAAAGAGCTCTCTCTGCTTCTCCCCCTCTTTCAGTCTGAAACATCTAAAGTCGTGGAAGGCTTTGCTCCTTTTTGAATTGTCATGGAAAAGTGAAATTGGGTTTTTCCAGTTTTCCTTTACAATGTATCAGAAGAGGTTTGAAAAGAAACAAAACAAAACTGGGGGTGGGGTTTAGCCTTTGTTTTGCTTTAAGAGTGAGTGTTCTGTGCATGTATTCACCCCCTACCCACAACTGCTCACATCCATCTTTCTCATCACCACCCTCACAGAGGCTCAGAGGAAAGAAAAGAGAGGCAACTGTCAAGCACAGGATGGTAGAACAGGCTCTCCCCACTGTGCCTGGGGAGGGGGCTTTCTGTCAGCCTCTGGAGGGGTGTGTGGGCTGCAGGATTTCAGGGCTGCACTGGTGGCCTGCTTCTTTAAAAGCAGCACACCAATTATAGAACCAGGCTGACTGCTTCAGGAGGGTTGGGGCGGGGAGATACATTCGCCATTTGGGCCAATAATCTGAACATAGCTGAATGAATTTAGAATATTTATTGAAATAGACATGGCCTTCAGACTCCTTTACAATACAAGTGACTCCTTTACAGATAGAGTTAGGGGAGCTTGATAAAGCTATTTAGAGGTAAAGAAAGCAGCTTCCTTTCTGGGTTTGGAGATGGTGTGGCCACTTTTTTTTCTAGGAAGTGCTGTTAGGATGGATGTTCATTGAGGATGGCATCGAAGCAGGGTGTGCGTGTCTGTTTGTATGTTTGTCACTGGAACACAGTATTTAGGCATTCTGCCAACTCACTGCCCCGCTCTCCTTGATCCTGTTTTGGATTTTTCTCCTTGCACGTTTGAAATGCTTTATGCATTCAATCTCTTTTTCTTTTGAGAACTAAGGCTTCCTTCCAAGAGACTGCCATTCTACTTAAGGGTCATTCCAGGCTGGAAGACTCCGAAATAGTTAGACATAGCCTGGGCAGAAACTCAGTTTTTCTGTTTGGAATCACCAATCCCCTCCAGTCAGCACCAGGGAAGGTCAGAACTGCACTCCTACCAAATAACCCTTCTTTACTTTTTCTGCAAAGCTGCAGGCTGAGTAAATTCTGCTGGGACAGCCTGGAGATTTGTCCAGACATGCAGAGCAATACCTTGTACGGTCTGTTATTTTTGGAAAGTTTGAATATTCAGGGACAAGGAGCATGTTGAGTAAAGAGAAGAGTTCTAAGCAGTTGATTTTTCAAAAACCTATCTATTTTTTAAATGGTTAGGAACTGGTCTTGAGGAAGGGAAATAAAAATCCCTACAGTTACATTTCTAAAATTTACTTTAAAGATTTTATACGTGTGAACAGACACTGCTCCTGTGTAATCATTATCATTTTCTGTAGGACGTTTAACAAGAAAATAAAAATGTCCCAAAGGAAAGCATCCCCATCATTCTATATTAACTAGTTTTTTTCTTTTTTTAAACATTTAGTAGTTCATGTATAGTCTAGAAGAATTTTTATTTTTCAAAAACAAAACAACATTTTAAGGGCTGGCTGTAATCCAGTAGTACAGAATTTCCTTAGAATTCAGGGTGCTCTAGCTTTGGTCCCCAGCACTGCCAAAACCAATATAAAGGTAGCAGAAATGGAGCTAGTTCAAGAATGTTCACTGAGTGAGCCTGCAGTGTTAAGATTAATTAAGACTGTGTGGCATTTGGTTAACATCATGGCTTTCCTGTGACAGCAAACAGTTTTTACCAGTGCACAGGAGGAATATAGTTTGTCTTGTCTTTTTATTGTTGGCATTAATTTAATAGTCTGATAAACACTCACCTTTTGCAGTAGAATGGCTTGTATTGGCAGTGTTTGTGTTAGCAATCTAGCCTTTGTAATGTGAACTTTTCAACCCAAGTCTTCTTGCTTTGGGGTCTTTTTCCTTTCTTTTTGTTAAGTTTTCTGAAGTGGAATATAATGTGTTGGAGGTGTGCACAAAACTATTTTTGCATGTTTTTCTTTTCTTTTTTCTTTTTGGTCCGTGTGGATTCTTTTTAGCAAATAAAATTCAGAAAAAGATGTACAAAGACTGGTTTTTTTCATTGTGTGTAAAGTTCTTTAATGTGTCATAAAAAAACAAAAACAAAAACAAAAACAGCTGACATCTAGATGGCCACAAATAAAAGTATGAGACAAAACTGCCCTGTGAATAGGAAGCACTGTTTACTTGGTCTGCTGTGCATCAGCAACTTAATCATTTTATTTAAACAAAGTTGTAAGAATAACACAAATGTTTTATATACAGAAAGAATAAGCTGAAGAACAGGCCTCGCCTTGTACTTTTGGAAAAGCATTTTTAGTTACTTGGTGGTCCAATATTTCATATTTAGGTCTCACAATACAGCCTCTGCTTCTCTGGTCCTGGCACTACAGACACTATGATCAGGTTGTTTTTTAATTATTTCATTTTATTATTAGTATGTGTGTGTGAGAGAGAGAGAGAGAAAGAGAGCACATGTGCCGTGGCGTGCAGAGGACAACTTTCAGTAGTCTCCTTCTACCATGTGGGTTCTGAGTACAAACTTATGTCATTGTGGTTAGAAGAAAGTGTCCACTGAGCCACCTTGATAACCCAAATTTATTTCTGTTTCTTTATTTTTAAATTTATTTTTGAAATTTTTATTTTATGTGTATGAATCTTTTGCTTGCATGCATGTTGTTCACCATTTGTCTGCCTGATATCTTTGAAGGCCAGAAGACAGTGTCGGATCCCCTGGAACTGGAGTTACTGATGGTTGTAAGCCACCATGTGGGTGTGGGAATGGAACCACCCTCTGCAAGAGCAACAAGTGTTAACTACTGAGATATCTCTCCAGCCCCAACTTTAAGATTCATTTTTATTGCTTTTTAACTATGTGCATATGTATGTGTCTGTGTATGTATGGTATGTATGGGCATGTGAGCACAGGTGCCAGCAGATCCTGGAAGAAGGTATTTGATTTTCCTGGAGCTGGAGTCAGAAGGAGTTGTGAACTGCCTGAACTGGGTGCTGGGAACCAAACTCAGGTCCTCTGCACCTGCAGTACATACTCTTAACCAACAAGTCATCTCTAACCCCACAGGTTAATTTTTATTTTGCTCCACATAGCTTCAAATGTAGAAAAGTTGCTTGTAATCCTTTCATTTCTTTTTCTTTAAATAGGTTCAGAGGAAAATCACATAGTGGCATTAAGAACAAATAATACCTAGCATAGACAAAGCCCAAGGTTCAATTCCTAGCATCACACAAACCATCCCAGGACTTAGGAGGTAGAGGCAGGAGTTCAAGGTCATCCAGGAATACATAGTGAGACTGTGTCCAAACAACCTCTTAACTTTAGTAGTGATAACAATTTGAAGTGATAGAAAAAAATCTCATAAAATCATAGAATTTAAATTTGGTGTCAGCTAGATGGTGGTGGCAGTCACTTGTAATCCCAGCATTTGGGAGGCAGAGGCAGGCTGATCACTCTGAGTTTGAGAACAGCCTGGTCTACAGAGGGAGTTCCAGAACAGCCAAGGCTACACAGGGATACCCTGTCTTGAAAAGCAAACAAACAAACAAACAAAAAGTATGTGTCCTGGGCTAGGTATGGCAGTTCTTACCTGCAATTCCAGTACCTGGAAGGTAGATGCTGAAGTAAGCCTGGAAGGTCAAGGACAGCCTGATCTACACAGTAAATTTCAAAGAATCCCGGGCTCTATAGCAAGACCCTACTCAAAAACAAATTCTTGTTCTTCTTGTTCTTTTTGTTTGTTTGTTTGTTTTCAAGACAGGGTTTCGCTGTGTAGCCTTGGCTGTCCTGGACTCACTTTGTAGACCAGGCTGGCCTGGAACTCCCAGAGTTCTACCTGCCTCTGCCTCCCAGAGTTCTAGGATTACAGGCATGCACCACCGGGCCGGCTAACAACCTTATTCTTTTGCTCACTCATTCATTTAATATTTACTCTTCTTTGGTGGCGACATACTCCTTATGAAAAAAAAAAAAAAAAAAAAAGAAACCTCTCCCAAAAGATCCTCACCCCTCTCCAGATGAGAAAACACAGGAAGGACCTGGTACACAGCGCCAATTCTAATGATTCTATAAAACCACCATGGCCTAGTGTGATGATGTACATCTTTAATCCCAACATTTGTGAGGCAGAGGCAAGCAAATTTCTGTGAGTTAGAGGCCAGCATAGTCTATAGTATGAGTTCCAGGTCAGCTAAAGCTAGTGAGACCCTGTCTCAAAACCAAACCAAACAAACCAACCACCCAACCAACTCTCAGTGCTCTTGAGCAATGCACATATGGTAGGTTTTTGATGTGTTTATGGTTTTTGTTGTTGTTTTAGTTAGTTTACAAAGTAGGTTTTCTTATAGCATTTTCATACATGTTTAATTTGAGGTGACCTTCCCTTCGTCTCCTCTCTCCAAGGCTGTGCTCCCTATCTCCACTTAAACCCTCCACCCACAGTGTTTTCCATTGCACTATTGTATCACATGTGTGTTCATGTCCTCCCCACCAACAAACAGTTGTTCTCTGTATTGTCTGCTCCGCTGTCCCTGTTATGCCAGGTTCACGGGACCCTCAGAGACCACCAGGAGACGACTCGATGCAATTGCAAGAGAGCTTTATTACGAGAGCGATCGAACTCGGGACCCAAGTCTCACTGGTGCAGCAGTAGAGAAGTGGGACCCCGAGCTCTGAGTGAACAGGATTTTTAAAGGGAAAGTCTGTGAGCAGGGGGTTTCCATGGCAGCAAGCAGGGGGGCACAAGCCTTGGCGTTACAGAATTGGGTGAAGTTTAGCAGGGCGGGGTGACCTTTTCTGAGGCACATAATCACAATGGCTAAGGCATATAATCACAATGGCTATTTTTCTAAACCATATCTGAAACATTGGGGAGAATTTTTCCACCCGATTCTCAACTGATTCCCATTGATTATTGCCAGGGAGTTTGTCTATATTTTCTATGAAGCATTTATTCTGTTATATTTCCTGGAGGCTGTTGCTAGGAAAGTTAACTTTGTTTTCTGCCAGGTGTACATTCTGTGATATTTCCTGGTACCTGAATTCAGTTCCCAGTCAAGATCTTTATTTCAAAATGGAGTTATATTCAGGCTATCTTAAGCTCTTCATCCCCTGCCAGCCTACAGGAGGGAAGGAAAGGCAGGAGCACACTAAACACACTCCGAATGGAAACCATCCTAACAAACACATTCGGAAAAAAATGAGCCCTTACCAGGTGTCAAGGGGACTGCTTGGGACAGTGAGAACATGACTGTGAATTCAACAGACAATCTGCCTTCAAGAAACTTAAACTCTAGTAATTGGAATTAGCCAAAACAGAGAAATGTCAGGTTAACTCTAAGGGGAAAAAAATATCTGAGCAAAATTTAAGGTTATATTTAAATTAAATTGTTTTATTTTATGTAATATAAATATTAATATTTAAAGCTGCTTTACAGACTAGTAAGGGCAAGAAGCTGTACTTGCATCCATTCATGATAAGGACAAGGCAGAGAGAAGGAGTTCTAGATGAAATAAGCTTAGCAGCAGGCTCAATGCTTTTCAAGGAAAATGCAGCTCTAACTTGGAAAATCTATGTAAAATACTGCTTTGAGTCTTTCTGACCATTGGCCCTCTTAGGACAGGTCCAGAATTCCATGTTCCTTCTCAGTGTTCCACTCAGATTTAAACCGTTCATATGACCTAGGCAACAGATCACTCCTTGATGTATGCTTGTTTATGTTCCAGTAAACTTGTCAGAAAGTGAAAGTATCATGAGTAAAAACTGTATTGAAGGGACTAAGGATGCACTTCTGTTGTAGAGAGCTTGTCTATCACACATGAAGCCCTCGTTTCTATTTGCAGCAATATAGAAAAGGAGTATGGAGATACATGCCTGTAATCTCAACACTCAGGTGTGGAGGCAGGAAGAAATTCAAGGTTATCCTGTCATCCTTGGCTACTTCAACCTACTCGGCTCGGAAGCTTCTGATGAACTATTCTGTCTGACTTTTATCACAAAGTAGGAGTGCTGGAATTACAGATGTGTCCCATCCCATCCAGCTTTCTACTCAGGTTACAGGGAATGAACTCAGATCATTATTAGGCTTGCACAGTTAGTTAACATCTTCACCTGCTAAGCTATCTTGCTAGCCAATAAGCTGCTTTGAGTGGTCAAGAAGAAAAACCATTCTGAGGTGAAAGGTGAATGATGAGAAGAAATAAACAATACCAAAGTTTGGGGCTAGTGTCCAGCCAGAGGGAAAAATAAGGTAAAGGATTTAAGGGGAGCAACTGGAATCCTGAGGACACATGGCTTGAGAACTTGGGTAAAGGGAGGGAATGAGGCACAGTGGGCCTTGGCTACACTGAAGAAAACTGCTACTTGCAAAGGGAGGAAATGAATGATGACAAGTAAAGAGAAAGAACTTGAATTCTGATAAAAACAAAATTTCCCCCTGAGGGGGGAGCAGCCTTACCAGGCCACAGAAGATGACAATGCAGCCACTCCTGATGAGATTTGATAGACTAAGATCAGAAGGAAGGAGAGGGGGACCTCCCGTATCAGTGGACTTGGGGAGGGGCATGTGTGAAGAAGGGGGAGGGAAGGTAGGGTTAGGAGGGGAGGAGGGAGAGGTTTATGGGGGGGGGGGATACAAAGTGAATAAAGTGTAACTAATAAAAGTTAAAAAAAAGAAAAAAAACCAAAAATTTGATTTTTCTTATAAAACATTTCACTTGGTAAAAGTGTTCGAAGTTCAAGCAGTTCTAGGTGAATGTGAAGAAACTCTTAGAGTTGGAATGTCGTCTGCTAAAGCCCACGGAGCCAGCAGGTGGTGTGGGCGGAGCGTCTGGAAGCACAGATCTGTGCTTGTCCGCACACCCACACTGAACACCTTTGCTTTTGCTTCATTGCAATCACACTGCATGCGCTGTTCTGAGATTTGCTTTCTTTTAAGAACCGTTGATTCTGTGACTGTGAACTCCACCGTATGACCCTAGTTATAATCTCTATGAAATGCAACCAACGGGCTATCTAAGAATAAGAATCTTGT